CAGGGCGGGGCGGGGTGGCAGGGCAGGGGTGGCAGGCAGGAGTGGCAGGGCCGAGCGGCAGGGCAGGGGTGGCAGGGCAGGAGGTGGCAGGGCAGGGGTGGCAGGGCCAGGGTGGCAGGGCAGGGGTGGCAGGCAGGTGGCAGGGCAGGGGTGGCAGGGCAGGGTGGCAGGGCAGGGGTGGCAGGGGCAGGGGTGGCAGGGCAGGGGCAGGGCAGGTGGCAGGGCAGGGCAGCAGGGCAGGGGTGGCAGGGCAGGGCAGCAGGGCGGGGTGGCAGGGCAGGGGTGGCAGGGCCAGGGGTGGCAGGGCAGGAGTGGCAGGGCAGGGTGGCAGGGCAGGGTGGCGAGGGCAGGGGTGGCAGGGCAGGGGTGGCAGGGCAGGGTGTGGGGCAGGGTGGCAGGCAGGGCAGCAGGGCGGCAGGGCAGGGGTGGCAGGGCAAGGAGTGGCAGGGCAGGGGTGCGGGCAGGGAGGTGGGGCAGGGTGGCAGGGCAGGGGTGGCAGGGCAGGGGTGGCAGGGCAGGGGTGGCAGGGCAGGGGTGTGGCAGGGCAGGGTGGCAGGGCAGTGGCAGGGCAGAGGCAGCGGGGCAGGGCAGCAGGGCAGGGTGGCAGGGCAGGGGCAGCAGGGCAGGGGTGCTGGGGCAGGGGCAGCTGGGGCGGGGCAGCAGGGCAGGGTGGCAGGGCAAGGGTGGCAGAGGCAAGGGTGGCAGGGCAGGGTGTAGGGCAGGGGTGGCAGGGCAGGGGTGCAGGGCAGGGGTGGCAGGCAGGTGTGGGGCAGGGTGTAGGGCAGGGGTGTGGGGCAGGGGTGGCAGGGCAGGGGCGGCAGGGCAGGGTGGCAGGGCAGGGTGCGGGGCAGGGGTGGCAGGGCAGGGCGGCAGGGCAGGGTGGCAGAGCAAGGCAGCAGGGCAGGGCAGCAGGGCAGGGGTGGCAGGGCAAGGGTGGCAGGGCGGGGTAGCAGGGCAAAGGGTGGCAGGGGCAGGGCGGCAGGGCAGGTGTAGCAGGGGGTGGCAGGGCAGGGTGGCAGGCAGGTGTGAGCAAGGTGGCAGGGCAGGGCGACAGGGCAGGCAGGGGTGGCAGGGCAAGGTGGCAGGGCAGGGGTGGCAGGGCAGGGTGGCAGGGCAGGGCGGCAGGGCAGGGCAGCAGGGCAGGGGTGGCAGGGCAGGGGTGGCAGGGCAGGGGTGGCAGGGCAAGGGGTAGCAGGGCAAGGGTGGCAGGGCAGGGGTAGCAGGGCAAGGTGGCAGGGCAGGGCGGCAGGGTGGGGCGGCAGGGCGGGGTGGCAAGGCAGGGTGGCAGAGATTATTGTGTGGGGACATAAATGCCATCTGTCGAGATCAACGCCATCTATCGACCAGTGTGGAGACATCAGCGCCATCTATCGACCAGTGTGAGGACATCCCCCCATCTATCGACCAGTGTGGGGACATCAACGCCATCTATCGACCAGTGTGAGGACATCCACTCATCTATCGACCAGTGTGGGGACATCAACGCCATCTATCGACCAGTGTGGGGACATCAACGCCATCTATCGACCAGTGTGGGGACATCACCATCTATCGACCAGTGTGGGGACATCAACGCCATCTATCGACCAGTGTGGGGACATCCACTCCATCTATCGACCAGTGTGGGGACATCAACCCCATCTATCGACCAGTGTGGGGACATCAACCCCATCTATCGACCAGTGTGGGGACATCAACGCCATCTATGGACATCAACGCCATCTATGGACCAGTGTGGGGACATCAACGCCATCTATCGACCAGTGTGGGGACATCAACGCCATCTATCGACCAGTGTGGGGACATCAACCCCATCTATCGACCAGTGTGGGGACATCAACGCCATCTATCGACCAGTGTGGGGACATCCACTCCATCTATCGACCAGTGTGGGCATCAACGCCATCTATCGACCAGTGTGGGGACATCAACGCCATCTATGGACATCAACGCCATCTATCGACCAGTGTGGGGGACATCAACGCCATCTATCGACCAGTGTGGGAAGCGAGCGTGGGAGAGACAAAGTGACTGTAGTAGTAAAGAAAGTTCTAATGTGTCTCTCTCTTTTCTCTCTCTATCTCTTTTTTATCTCTCTTTTTTATCTTTCTTTTTCCCCATTTTAATTTGTATTGTTTATTATCATTACTTAGTTTATTATTATTATTATTATTATTAATTTATTATTATTATTATTCACAGCTGATTCTCTCCCACACTACAGCTAGTTCTCTCCCTCACTACAGCTGGTTCTCTCCACACTACCAGCTAGTTCTCTCCCTCACTACAGCTGGTTCTCTCCCTCACTACAGCTGGTTCTCTCCTCACTACAGCTGGTTCCCTCCCCTCACTACAGCTGGTTCTCTCCCTCACTACAGCTGGTTCTCCCCACACTACAACTAGTTCTCCCCTCACTACAGCTGGTTCTCTCTCCTCACTACAGCTGGTTCTCTCCCCTCACTACAGCTGGTTCTCTCCTCACTACAGCTGGTTCTCTCCCTCCCACTACAGCTGGTTCCCTCCCTCACTACAGCTGGTTCTCTCCCTCACTACAGCTGGTTCTCTCCCACACTACAGCTAGTTCTCTCCCTCACTACAGCTGGTTCTCTCCTCACTACAGCTGGTTGTCTCCTTCACTACAGCTAGTTCTCTCCCTCACTACAGCTGGTTCTCTCCCTCACACAGCTGGTTCTCTCCCCCTACAGCTAGTTCTCTCCCCTCACTACAGCTGGTTCTCCTCACTACAGCTGGTTCTCTCCCCTAGCTAGTTCTCTCCTCACTACAGCTGGTTCTCTCCTCACTACAGCTGGTTCTCTCCCTCACTACAGCTGGTTCCTCCTCACTACAGCTAGTTCTCTCCTCACTACAGCTGGTTCTCTCCCACACTACAGCTAGTTCTCTCCTCTCACTACAGCTGGTTCTCTCCCCTCACTACAGCTGGTTCTCTCCTCACTCTGCTGGTTCTCTCCTCACTACAGCTGGTTCCTCCCCTCACTACAGCTGGTTCTCTCCCCCACTACAGCTGGTTCTCTCCCACACTACAGCTAGTTCTCTTCCCTCACACAGCTGGTTCTCTCCTACTACAGCTGTTTCTCTCCTTCACTACAGCTAGTTCTCTCCTCACTACAGCTAGTTCTCTCCTCTACAGCTAGTTCTCTCCCCACACTACAGCTGGTTCTCCCACACTACAGCTGGTTCTCTCCACACTACAGCTGGTTCTCTCCCCACACTACAGCTAGTTCTCTCCTCACTACAGCTGGTTCTCTCCCTCACTACAGCTAGTTCTCCCACTACAGCTAGTTCTCTCCCTCTCCCACTACCTAGTTCTCTCCCTCCCACTACAGCTGGTTCTCTCCCCTCACTACAGCTAGTTCTCTCCTCACTACAGCTAGTTCTCTCCCTCACTACAGCTGGTTCTCTCACACTACAGCTGGTTCTCTCCCCTCACTACAGCTGGTTCTCTCCACACTACAGCTAGTTCTCTCCTCCCACTACAGCTGGTTCCTCTCTCACTACAGCTAGTTCTCTCCCCTCACTACAGCTAGTTCTCTCCCTCACTACAGCTAGTTCTCTCCTCACTCAGCTAGTTCTCTCCTCACTACCTCAGTTCTCTCCCTCACTACAGCTGGTTCTCCACACTACCTGGTTCTCTCCTCACTACAGCTGGTTCTCTCCCACTACAGCTGGTTCTCTCCCTCACTACCAGTTCTCTCCCCTCACCAGCTAGTTCTCTCCCCTCATCAGTTCTCTCCCCTCACAGCTGGTCTCTCCACCTGCTGGTTCTCTCCCCTCACTACAGCTGGTTCTCTCCCTCACTACAGCTAGTTCTCTCCCCTCACACCTGGTTCTCTCCCCCACACTACAGCTGGTTCTCTCCACACACAGCTGGTTCTCTCTCCCTCACTACAGCTGGTTCTCTCCCCTCACTACCTGGTTCTCTCTCCCCACTACAGCGTTCTCTCCCCACACTGGCCAGTTTCTCTCCCCCACTACAGCTGGTTTCTCTCCCACACTACAGCTAGTTCTCTCTCCACCTCCAGCTGGTTCTCTCCCTCACTACAGCTAGTTCTCTCCCACCTCCTCCCACGTTCTCTCCCCTCACACAGCTGGTTCTCTCCCCCACTACCTGGCTCTCCCCTACAGCTGGTTCTCTCCCCACAGCTGTTCTCTCCCCCTACACTGGTTCTCTCCCCACACAGCTGGTTCTCTCCCTCACTACAGCTAGTTCTCTCCCTCACTACATGGTTCTCTCCCCACACTACCTAGTTCTCTCCCCCACACTACAGCTAGTTCTCTCCACACCTAGTTCTCTCCCACACTACAGTTCTCTCCCCTACAGCAGTTCTCTCCCACACACAGCTGGTTCTCTCCCACACTACCTAGTTCTCTCCCCTCACAGTAGTTCTCTCACACTACAGCTGGTTCTCTCCCTCCACTACAGCTAGTTCTCTCCCACACTCAGTTCTCCCCCACCGCTATTCTCTTCCTCACTACAGCTAGTTCTCCCACACTACAGCTGGTTCTCTCACACTACAGCTATCTCTGTTCTCTCCCCACTACCTCAGGTTCTCTCCCCCTACAGCTGGTTCTCTCCCCTCACTACAGCAGTTCTCTCCCACACTACAGCTGGTTCTCCCCACACTACACTGGTTCCCTCCCTACACTACCTAGTTCTCTCCCTACTACAGCTAGTTCTCTCCCTACAGCTAGTTCTCTACAGCTAGTTCTCTCCCCTCACTACCTAGTTCTCTCCCCACACAGCTAGTTCTCTCACACCTACAGCTGGTTCTCTCTCCTACACTACAGCTAGTTCTCTCCTCACTACAGCTAGTTCTCCTATGATCTGGTTGTTCTCTCCCGCAGGTGGGGTGGGTGAAGGCGACACGAAGGCCATCCAACCATCCATCACCAGGTAGTGACCCACAACCCCCTCTCAGTCACCTACAGAGACAAGACCACCTACATTCTTCACATCCACAGCGTCCAGAAATGACCGCGGCGTGTACATGTGTCATGTCCCGACCCTATGATAGCTGAGGTAAGTGAGGTTAGGTAGTAGGTGTAGTGTGGTAGGTGTGTGGCTGTAAATATGTGTATGGTGAACATTGAGGTAGAAGTTGTGTGTAAAGGTAGAAATGATATGTGTAAGTATGTGAGGTATGTAGTATGTGTGTAGTGTGTGTAGGTAGTTAGGTGAGGTAGGTATGTGTGTGTGAAATATATATGTTAGTATTGAGTAATAGTGTGGTGAGGTGTGTAAGAGCTAGGTGAGGCTTAGGTGTAATAAATATGTGGTGGTAAGTAAAGTGTGGTGTGGTAGTATGTAAGTGTGGTGTGTGTGTGAAAAGCCAGGTGAGTATATGTGGGTATGTGTAGGTATGTGGTAAAGATGTGTGCAGTAAGTAGTGTGTGGTGTGGTGTGGTAGTGTGGTGAGGTGTGTGTAGTAGGTGTGGTGGTGTGGTGAGGTGAGGTGAGGTTAAATTGGGAGTAGGAAGGTTAACAACCCAACCTAACCATCTCCTATCAATACATCTCTCCAACTTACTGTATATTGATAACTTCTCCACACACACACACACACACACACAGACAACACACACAACACACACACACACACACACACACACACACACACACACACACACACACACTGAACAGATTTTGTTGATATTTAATTAACTTTAAAAGTACCGCTTAGAGCACCGTCCCTCTCTCCCCTCCACACTCCCCTCTCCTCCCTCTCTCTCCTTCACACTCCCCTCTCTCCCTCTCTCTCCCCTCACACTCCCTCTCCTCCTCCCTCTCCCTCATGCTCTCCTCTCCTCCTCTCTCTCCCCTCACACTCCCCTCTCCTCCTCTCTCTCCTCACCCTCCCCTCTCCTCCCTCCCCTCTCCCTTCCTCCACTTTCCTCCCTCTCTCCCCTCACACTCCCTCCCTTTCCTCTCCTCTCACCCCTACCTCTTCCCTCCTCTCCTCTCTCTCCCCTCCCCTCCCTCTCTCTCCCCTCAGGCTCTCCTCTCCTCCCCTCTCTCTCCCCTCACACTCCTCCTCTCCTCCCTCTCTCTCCCTCACGCTCCCTCCCTCCTCTCTCTCCCCTCACGCTCTCCTCTCCCTCTCTCCCCTCCTCTCCTCTCCTCCCTCTCTCCCCTCACACTCCCTCTCCTCTCTCTCTCCTCCTCTTTCCAACCTCCCCATCCTCTTCCTCTTCTTTAACCCTCCACCACCTCCTCCTGCTTCTATCCTCCTTCTTCCAACCCTCATTTTCTTCCTCCTCCTTCTCTTCCTCCATCCTCGTCCTCGTCCTCCTCCTCCTCCTCCTCCTCTTCCTCCTCCTCCTCCTCCTCCCTCCTCCTCCTCCTCTCCTCCCCTCCTCTCCTCCTCCTCTCTCTTCCTCCTCCTCCTCCTCCTCCTCCTCTTCCTCCTCCTCCTCCTCCTCCCTCCTCCTCCCTCTCCTCCTCTTCCTCCTCTCCTCCTCCTCCTCCTCCTCCTCCTCCTCCTCCTCCTTCCTCCTCCTCCCCTCCTCCTCCTCCTCCTCCTCTTCTCCTCCTCCCTCCTCCCCTCCTCCTCCTCCTCCTCCTCCTCTTCCTCCTCCTCCTCCTCCTCCTCCTCTTCCTCCTCCTCCTCCTCCTCCTCCTCCTCCTCCTCTTCCTCCTCCTCCTCCTCCTCTTCCTCCTCCTCCTCCTCCTCCTCCTCCTCCTCCTCTCCTCCTCCTCCTCCTCTCCTCCTCCTCCTCCCTCTCCTCCCTCCTCCTCCTCCTCCTCTCTTCCTCTCCTCTTCCTCCTCCTCCTCCTCCTCCTCCTCCTCCTCCTCCTCCTCCCTCTTCCTCCTCCTCCTCTCCTCCTCCTCCTCCTCCTCCTCCTCCTCCTCCTCCTCTTCCTCCTCCTCCCCTCCTCCTCCACGGGCCACAAGTTATCCCCTCCAGGATAATTTACCCCGCCATTAATTTGGCTGTGTGCCAGAGGTCGAGTTTTGTCTGTCTGTCTGTCTGCCTGTCTGTCTGTCTGTCTGCCTGCCTGCCTGCCTGCCTGTCTGTCTGTCTGTCTGCCTGCCTGTCTGTCTGTTTGTCTGTCTGCCTGCCTGCCTGTCTGTCTGTCTGTCTGCCTGTCTGTCTGTCTGCCTGTCTGTCGTCTGTCTGCCTGCCCTGCCTGCCTGCCTGTCTGTCTGTCTGCCTGTCTGCTGTCTGTCTGCCTGTCTGTCTGTCTGTCTGCCTGTCTGTCTGTCTGTCTGTCTGCCTGTCTGTCTGTCTGCCTGTCTGCTGTCTGTCTGTCTGTCTGTCTGTCTGCCTGTCTGCCTGTCTGTCTGTCTGTCTGCCTGTCTGTCTGTCTGTCTGTCTGTCTGCCTGCCTGCCTGTCTGTCTGTCTGTCTGTCTGTCTGTCTGTCTGTCTGTCTGTCTGTCTGTCTGAGTGTGTGTGTGTGTGTGTGTGTTTGATTGCTCACTTCATCTCCTCCTCCTCTCACACACTCTTTCTTCCCCTCCCTTTCTTATTGACCTTTTCTCCCTCCTCTCTTTCTCCTCTCACACCACCTCTCCCTCGTTCCTTCTCCCTTCTTCTCTTCCCCTTTCCTCATTCCCTTTCGTCCATCTTTCCTTCCATCCCTCTCGCCATTCCCTCTCCCTCCTTCTTTCCTTCTTCCTTTCTACTCCCCTCCCTCCCTCGTCTTCCTACCTTCTAATCTCCCTCTCCTTTCCCTTCCTCCCCTCCTTTTACCCCCACCCCCTGCCCCCCTTTTCCCTCCCCCTTCAATGAGCCACAAATCTCCCCTCAGTTACATTTCATGAACCAGCAGTTTTATTGGCCGGTGTATAGAGGGGGGAGGGGGGGTGGAAGCGTCGCCCTAACTACCGCCTGTGATGGTACGGCTAGTTGAGGCTGTTAACCGCACTTGTCCCACCCACTAACGATCGTAAACTATAGGGCTTAACTACTATACGCTTAATAACCACTAACTACCGCTGTTATTGGTCTAAGTACAGAGCTTAACTACCACACGTCTAACAATCACTAACTACCGCTATTATTGGTCGAAGTACAGAGCTTAACTACCACACGTCTAACAATCACTAACTACCGCTGTTATTGGTCTAAGTACAGAGCTTAACTACCACACGTCTAACAATCACTAACTACCGCTGTTATTGATCGAAGTACAGAGCTTAACTATCACACGTCTAACAATCACTAACTACCGCTGTTATTGGTCGAAATAGTTATTCAATTCACTACTGTGCCCTTCAGACCTTAACTACTACACAGGTAACAAGCACTAACTACCGGCCTTTAACTATCACCGTTGTCTATCTTAGTAGTTGTTCAGGTCACTAACTACCAATTAGAGATCTTAACTTCCTAACAGCAGTTAAGATACTCCCCAATGACAGTAAGATGGCCGGGATAGTTAAGGATGTGTGTGTGATGCTAACTGCCATAACATCGTTAACTGCTAACTACATACCTATCTAACTATCAATGCAATTTACCCTAAATAACCTTAAGTAATGAGTAGCACTCTAACTATTGTAAAGCTCGTTAACTGTACCACTCCCTAACTATCACTAAAGTAGTTATGGACACCTTAACTACTCTAACTACCATAGAGTTCTTTAACTGCTAACTGAACCCCTAACTACCCCTCCGATTCTCCCTAACTACTCTATGGCACTGGTATAGGTAATTGCCAATAAAGGACAATTATAGTTAGGGTTGTTTGCTCCCACGGAATTGCTGTAACAACTGCAACGGTCGTTAGCCTGTGAGAGGGAGAGAGAGAGGAGGGAGGGTGATTAAGAGAGAGAGAGAGAGAGAGAGAGAGAGAGAGAGAGAGAGAGAGAGAGAGAGTACCACTGCACATCCTTCAATAACACGACAATCAAATTTTTGGAAAAAATGTCCTTCCAGGGTCCATGGTCTCCTACAGTTCATGGTCCATGGTCTCCTACGGTTCATGTTCCAGGGTCTACTAGGGTCCATGGTCTCCTACAGTTTATGGTCCAGGGTCTATTAGGGTCCATGGTCTCCTACGGTTCATGTTCCAGGGTCTACTAAAGTCCATGGTCTCCTAGAGTCTAAATTTTGAGGTTCATGGCCTCTTATTGTACAGACTCCAGGGACATTTAGGGTCCAGGGCCCAAGGTCTCTTAGGGTCCAGGGTCTCCTAGGTCCAGAGTCCAGGATATTCTATGGTCCAAGGTCCAGGGTCTCCTAGGGTCCAGGGTCTCCTAGGGTCCAGGGTCTCCTAGGGTCCAGGGTCTCCTAGAGTCCAGGGTCTCCTCGGGTCCAGGGTCCTGGTAGCTATGGAGAAAATAGTGATTATTTAACTCCTTCCACACACACACACACACACACCACACACACTCCCTCACACACACACACACACACACACACACACACACACACACACACACACACACACACACACACTCGGCCTCCACCACCTCCTCTTCCCCATTCCCTGTCTCCTTCTTATCCCCTCCCTTCCCCTTCCCTCCCGTCTCCCCCTTCCCTCCCCTCCCCTCTCCCCCTTCCCCCTTCCCCACCCTCTCCACCTCCCCCCTCCCCCTTGGATCTGCCTCCTGCCGAGTCTTTCAACAGGAAATATAAGACTCCGTTCTCAGACCCAAATTAGACAAGCAAAATATCTTAAGGTAAAAACTGTCTCTGGGAGTCTCATAACCTCGAGTCTCAGAGTTGAGGTAGAGTCTCAGAGCTCTTTCTAACCTAACCTAACCTAACCCAACCTAACCTAACCTAAGAGAGTATGTGAATGTAGTTAAGGCTTGCATGTTAATATCGTGGGGGAGTGGGGTGTGAGGGAGGGAGGGAGGGAGTGGGTCAGTGGGTGGAGGGAGTAAGAGGGAGGGAGTGGGAGGAGGGAGTCAATGGGAAGAGGGAGTGGGAAGAGGGAGTAAGAGGGAGGGTGGGGGGAGGTCAGTAGAGGTAGGAGGTCACCGCCTGCCTAACCTCAGAATAAAAGCACAAACACCACGATTTACCGCCGCTGTCATCTCTGGGAAATTATCTCTGGGTCTCTTTTATTC